TGACTTCCTTCATTTCCTTGGTTCTCCTCCCTCCTCCTCTGACTTCCTTCATTTCCTTGGTTCTCCTCCCTCCTCCTCTGACTTCCTTCATTTCCTTGGTTCTCCTCCCTCCTCCTCTGACTTCCTTCATTTCCTTGGTTCTCCTCCCTCCTCCTCTGACTTCCTTCATTTCCTTGGTTCTCCTCCCTCCTCCTCTGACTTCCTTCATTTCCTTGGTTCTCCTCCCTCCTCCTCTGACTTCCTTCATTTCCTTGGTTCTCCTCCCTCCTCCTCTGACTTCCTTCATTTCCTTGGTTCTCCTCCCTCCTCCTCTGACTTCCTTCATTTCCTTGGTTCTCCTCCCTCCTCCTCTGACTTCCTTCATTTCCTTGGTTCTCCTCCCTCCTCCTCTGACTTCCTTCATTTCCTTGGTTCTCCTCCCTCCTCCTCTGACTTCCTTCATTTCCTTGGTTCTCCTCCCTCCTCCTCTGACTTCCTTCATTTCCTTGGTTCTCCTCCCTCCTCCTCTGACTTCCTTCATTTCCTTGGTTCTCCTCCCTCCTCCTCTGACTTCCTTCATTTCCTTGGTTCTCCTCCCTCCTCCTCTGACTTCCTTCATTTCCTTGGTTCTCCTCCCTCCTCCTCTGACTTCCTTCATTTCCTTGGTTCTCCTCCCTCCTCCTCTGACTTCCTTCATTTCCTTGGTTCTCCTCCCTCCTCCTCTGACTTCCTTCATTTCCTTGGTTCTCCTCCCTCCTCCTCTGACTTCCTTCATTTCCTTGGTTCTCCTCCCTCCTCCTCTGACTTCCTTCATTTCCTTGGTTCTCCTCCCTCCTCCTCTGACTTCCTTCATTTCCTTGGTTCTCCTCCCTCCTCCTCTGACTTCCTTCATTTCCTTGGTTCTCCTCCCTCCTCCTCTGACTTCCTTCATTTCCTTGGTTCTCCTCCCTCCTCCTCTGACTTCCTTCATTTCCTTGGTTCTCCTCCCTCCTCCTCTGACTTCCTTCATTTCCTTGGTTCTCCTCCCTCCTCCTCTGACTTCCTTCATTTCCTTGGTTCTCCTCCCTCCTCCTCTGACTTCCTTCATTTCCTTGGTTCTCCTCCCTCCTCCTCTGACTTCCTTCATTTCCTTGGTTCTCCTCCCTCCTCCTCTGACTTCCTTCATTTCCTTGGTTCTCCTCCCTCCTCCTCTGACTTCCTTCATTTCCTTGGTTCTCCTCCCTCCTCCTCTGACTTCCTTCATTTCCTTGGTTCTCCTCCCTCCTCCTCTGACTTCCTTCATTTCCTTGGTTCTCCTCCCTCCTCCTCTGACTTCCTTCATTTCCTTGGTTCTCCTCCCTCCTCCTCTGACTTCCTTCATTTCCTTGGTTCTCCTCCCTCCTCCTCTGACTTCCTTCATTTCCTTGGTTCTCCTCCCTCCTCCTCTGACTTCCTTCATTTCCTTGGTTCTCCTCCCTCCTCCTCTGACTTCCTTCATTTCCTTGGTTCTCCTCCCTCCTCCTCTGACTTCCTTCATTTCCTTGGTTCTCCTCCCTCCTCCTCTGACTTCCTTCATTTCCTTGGTTCTCCTCCCTCCTCCTCTGACTTCCTTCATTTCCTTGGTTCTCCTCCCTCCTCCTCTGACTTCCTTCATTTCCTTGGTTCTCCTCCCTCCTCCTCTGACTTCCTTCATTTCCTTGGTTCTCCTCCCTCCTCCTCTGACTTCCTTCATTTCCTTGGTTCTCCTCCCTCCTCCTCTGACTTCCTTCATTTCCTTGGTTCTCCTCCCTCCTCCTCTGACTTCCTTCATTTCCTTGGTTCTCCTCCCTCCTCCTCTGACTTCCTTCATTTCCTTGGTTCTCCTCCCTCCTCCTCTGACTTCCTTCATTTCCTTGGTTCTCCTCCCTCCTCCTCTGACTTCCTTCATTTCCTTGGTTCTCCTCCCTCCTCCTCTGACTTCCTTCATTTCCTTGGTTCTCCTCCCTCCTCCTCTGACTTCCTTCATTTCCTTGGTTCTCCTCCCTCCTCCTCTGACTTCCTTCATTTCCTTGGTTCTCCTCCCTCCTCCTCTGACTTCCTTCATTTCCTTGGTTCTCCTCCCTCCTCCTCTGACTTCCTTCATTTCCTTGGTTCTCCTCCCTCCTCCTCTGACTTCCTTCATTTCCTTGGTTCTCCTCCCTCCTCCTCTGACTTCCTTCATTTCCTTGGTTCTCCTCCCTCCTCCTCTGACTTCCTTCATTTCCTTGGTTCTCCTCCCTCCTCCTCTGACTTCCTTCATTTCCTTGGTTCTCCTCCCTCCTCCTCTGACTTCCTTCATTTCCTTGGTTCTCCTCCCTCCTCCTCTGACTTCCTTCATTTCCTTGGTTCTCCTCCCTCCTCCTCTGACTTCCTTCATTTCCTTGGTTCTCCTCCCTCCTCCTCTGACTTCCTTCATTTCCTTGGTTCTCCTCCCTCCTCCTCTGACTTCCTTCATTTCCTTGGTTCTCCTCCCTCCTCCTCTGACTTCCTTCATTTCCTTGGTTCTCCTCCCTCCTCCTCTGACTTCCTTCATTTCCTTGGTTCTCCTCCCTCCTCCTCTGACTTCCTTCATTTCCTTGGTTCTCCTCCCTCCTCCTCTGACTTCCTTCATTTCCTTGGTTCTCCTCCCTCCTCCTCTGACTTCCTTCATTTCCTTGGTTCTCCTCCCTCCTCCTCTGACTTCCTTCATTTCCTTGGTTCTCCTCCCTCCTCCTCTGACTTCCTTCATTTCCTTGGTTCTCCTCCCTCCTCCTCTGACTTCCTTCATTTCCTTGGTTCTCCTCCCTCCTCCTCTGACTTCCTTCATTTCCTTGGTTCTCCTCCCTCCTCCTCTGACTTCCTTCATTTCCTTGGTTCTCCTCCCTCCTCCTCTGACTTCCTTCATTTCCTTGGTTCTCCTCCCTCCTCCTCTGACTTCCTTCATTTCCTTGGTTCTCCTCCCTCCTCCTCTGACTTCCTTCATTTCCTTGGTTCTCCTCCCTCCTCCTCTGACTTCCTTCATTTCCTTGGTTCTCCTCCCTCCTCCTCTGACTTCCTTCATTTCCTTGGTTCTCCTCCCTCCTCCTCTGACTTCCTTCATTTCCTTGGTTCTCCTCCCTCCTCCTCTGACTTCCTTCATTTCCTTGGTTCTCCTCCCTCCTCCTCTGACTTCCTTCATTTCCTTGGTTCTCCTCCCTCCTCCTCTGACTTCCTTCATTTCCTTGGTTCTCCTCCCTCCTCCTCTGACTTCCTTCATTTCCTTGGTTCTCCTCCCTCCTCCTCTGACTTCCTTCATTTCCTTGGTTCTCCTCCCTCCTCCTCTGACTTCCTTCATTTCCTTGGTTCTCCTCCCTCCTCCTCTGACTTCCTTCATTTCCTTGGTTCTCCTCCCTCCTCCTCTGACTTCCTTCATTTCCTTGGTTCTCCTCCCTCCTCCTCTGACTTCCTTCATTTCCTTGGTTCTCCTCCCTCCTCCTCTGACTTCCTTCATTTCCTTGGTTCTCCTCCCTCCTCCTCTGACTTCCTTCATTTCCTTGGTTCTCCTCCCTCCTCCTCTGACTTCCTTCATTTCCTTGGTTCTCCTCCCTCCTCCTCTGACTTCCTTCATTTCCTTGGTTCTCCTCCCTCCTCCTCTGACTTCCTTCATTTCCTTGGTTCTCCTCCCTCCTCCTCTGACTTCCTTCATTTCCTTGGTTCTCCTCCCTCCTCCTCTGACTTCCTTCATTTCCTTGGTTCTCCTCCCTCCTCCTCTGACTTCCTTCATTTCCTTGGTTCTCCTCCCTCCTCCTCTGACTTCCTTCATTTCCTTGGTTCTCCTCCCTCCTCCTCTGACTTCCTTCATTTCCTTGGTTCTCCTCCCTCCTCCTCTGACTTCCTTCATTTCCTTGGTTCTCCTCCCTCCTCCTCTGACTTCCTTCATTTCCTTGGTTCTCCTCCCTCCTCCTCTGACTTCCTTCATTTCCTTGGTTCTCCTCCCTCCTCCTCTGACTTCCTTCATTTCCTTGGTTCTCCTCCCTCCTCCTCTGACTTCCTTCATTTCCTTGGTTCTCCTCCCTCCTCCTCTGACTTCCTTCATTTCCTTGGTTCTCCTCCCTCCTCCTCTGACTTCCTTCATTTCCTTGGTTCTCCTCCCTCCTCCTCTGACTTCCTTCATTTCCTTGGTTCTCCTCCCTCCTCCTCTGACTTCCTTCATTTCCTTGGTTCTCCTCCCTCCTCCTCTGACTTCCTTCATTTCCTTGGTTCTCCTCCCTCCTCCTCTGACTTCCTTCATTTCCTTGGTTCTCCTCCCTCCTCCTCTGACTTCCTTCATTTCCTTGGTTCTCCTCCCTCCTCCTCTGACTTCCTTCATTTCCTTGGTTCTCCTCCCTCCTCCTCTGACTTCCTTCATTTCCTTGGTTCTCCTCCCTCCTCCTCTGACTTCCTTCATTTCCTTGGTTCTCCTCCCTCCTCCTCTGACTTCCTTCATTTCCTTGGTTCTCCTCCCTCCTCCTCTGACTTCCTTCATTTCCTTGGTTCTCCTCCCTCCTCCTCTGACTTCCTTCATTTCCTTGGTTCTCCTCCCTCCTCCTCTGACTTCCTTCATTTCCTTGGTTCTCCTCCCTCCTCCTCTGACTTCCTTCATTTCCTTGGTTCTCCTCCCTCCTCCTCTGACTTCCTTCATTTCCTTGGTTCTCCTCCCTCCTCCTCTGACTTCCTTCATTTCCTTGGTTCTCCTCCCTCCTCCTCTGATTCCTTCATTTCCTTGGTTCTCCTCCCTCCTCCTCTGACTTCCTTCATTTCCTTGGTTCTCCTCCCTCCTCCTCTGACTTCCTTCATTTCCTTGGTTCTCCTCCCTCCTCCTCTGACTTCCTTCATTTCCTTGGTTCTCCTCCCTCCTCCTCTGACTTCCTTCATTTCCTTGGTTCTCCTCCCTTCTTTTCTTCGCCTTCACTTGTTCCCCCCCTTCGTTCTTCCCACCTCCTCTCCTCCCCCTATCCTTTTCTTACTCGGGTCGAATCTCCTTCACGTTGCTCTTTTCCTTTTGGTAAATCTCTCCCTATCCCCAGGGCTGTGCCTGTGAGAGGTAACGGATGCGAGGATAGCGCACTGAGGGGGGCGCAGCGTGGTGCATGAGCCACGAGCTGAGGGGGCTGTGTGTGTCCCGTGTCCCCCGCCCCCCTCCCCCCTCCCCATCCCACCCACCCCCCTCTCCCCCGTCTCTCTCCCTGCATTCTTTCCTTTGAGCCACTCAGGGCTATGTGTGTGAGGCAACAGATGAGGAGATAGCACAGAGCACGAGCTACGAGCTGATGGGGCTGTGTCCCGATGACTGGTTCCTCGACCCACCCCTCCCCTCCCCACCCTCAACCTCGTCCTGTTTGTATTGCCTCCTTTTTTCTTCTCTTTCGCTCTCAGGGCTACGCGTGTGAGGCAACAGACGAGGAGATAGCACAGTACATGAACTACGAGCTGAGGGGGCTGTGCCCTGATGACTGGTTCTTCGTGCAGCATCTCATCTTCGTGAAAAACTGCTACGCTCTGCCCAAGCGCCGCTGCCTTGCGCGCACTCCCCAGGAATTCATAGAGGTAAGGCTGTGTGCGCGTGCTGCCCTGCCGATGTTGGTGGCTGCTGTGGATCTCCCGATGACTGCTTCTTCGTGCAGCACCTCATCGTTGTGAAAGGAAGGGAAGGGGTCCATAGAGGTGAGTTGATGGAAGGAAGGGAAGGGGTCCATAGAGGTGAGTTGATGGAAGGAAGGGAAGGGGTCCATAGAGGTGAGTTGATGGAAGGAAGGGTGCTGCTGCTGGCTGCTGGCTGCTGCTGATGTCCCCAGGACTCGTTCTTCGTGCAGCACCTCACCTTCGTGCAGCACCTCACCTTCGTGCAACATCTCATTTTCGTCAACAACTGCTCTGCTCTGCTGAAGAGGAGGTGCCTTGCTCTGCTGAAGAGGAGGTGCCTTGCTCTGCTGAAGAGGAGGTGCCTTGCTCTGCTGAAGAGGAGGTGCCTTGCTCTGCTGAAGAGGAGGTGCCTTGCTCTGCTGAAGAGGAGGTGCCTTGCTCTGCTGAAGAGGAGGTGCCTTGCTCTGCTGAAGAGGAGGTGCCTTGCTCTGCTGAAGAGGAGGTGCCTTGCTCTGCTGAAGAGGAGGTGCCTTGCTCTGCTGAAGAGGAGGTGCCTTGCTCTGCTGAAGAGGAGGTGCCTTGCTCTGCTGAAGAGGAGGTGCCTTGCTCTGCTGAAGAGGAGGTGCCTTGCTCTGCTGAAGAGGAGGTGCCTTGCTCTGCTGAAGAGGAGGTGCCTTGCTCTGCTGAAGAGGAGGTGCCTTGCTCTGCTGAAGAGGATGTCAACGGGAGTTGGGTGTGGCCCCGTCCTCGCTTGGGCGGAGCCGACTTAGTGGTCGGGTGTAAGGAGAGCAGCCGACCTGCAGCAGCGGGCGAGCTGGTCGACGAGGCTGGTCGACTTGCACGGGGGCCACTGCAAGGGCGTCGACTTGGGGAGGGCGCCAACTTTGGGAGGTCGACCTGGCGAGGTCGACGTGCACGGGCGTCGACTTGGCGACGCCGACTTGGGTGCAGCCGACTTGGGCGGCCGGCTGAGGAGAGTTGTCGACCTGGTGGTCGACCAGACTTGGTGGTCGACGAAGGGGGGGAGCCGACGTCGACCTCGACAGGGGAGTCTGGGGACGCCGGGCTGGAGGGCGTCGAGTAGCAGAACGCCGAACAGCCAGGCGCCGAGTTCCATGGCGCCGACCATTGGGGACGCCGGGCTCTCGCAGTCGGCGACCGACCGAGCTGGTCGATCAGGCGTGGTTGCTCGGTCGACCGGGATACCCGGGCGACGTGTGCGAAGGTCGCCGGGATGGCATATGCGAGGGCGATCTCGGGGGTGGTATCCCGAGGTCGACGTGGCTGGTGGGCGCAGTCGCTGGCGTGGAGTTGACCTGGGCGTCTGCACCGTGCACGTGACGAGGAGTGGTGCACCAACCAGCTGCGCGCACCTGCGAAGCAGGTGCACCGTTGTCCTGCGGGTGCAGCGCTGTGCAGCCGACTTGCTGCAGCGTTGGCGCACCGCGGACTTGCAACGTTGGCAAGCCGCGACTTTGCATTGCTGGAGCGCGGTCGACCAAGTCGTGCTGGCACGTGGTCGACCGTGCTGCGCTGGCAGTCGATCAGCAACCTTGCTAGGTCTGATGTAGTTTGTGTTGCCAATGTTGATGCAATCATTCTGAACCTTTGTTGTCATGCCTTCCTAGTGAAACTCTTGCCAATTTCCTTCATGAACTAGCAAGCAGTGTGAGCACTTGGAAACGACTAAGGAACGAACGAACGCTACGATCACTCCCACCCCGTGTCTTGCCTGTAGTCTAGTGGACGTGGTGCGGTGTTGCAGTGTTGTAGTAGTTATCTCCGCATGGTGCGGTGAGCGTGGACGGCACACGACTTACCTTTCAGTCAAGGCGACGTAGTTGCCACTTACCTAATTCGTGTTCGTAGGCCGGCAGCTGTGCAGTAGTCACTATGGTAGGCGCCGTAGTAGACACGGGGGTGGTGGACACCCTGGAGGCACGGCAGGAAAAAGCGAGGAGACGTCACGAGGCTAACGAGTATGGCGACCTGCCTTGGGCGGTCGTCGAGGCTGGCATCCGTGCCGTGTGGGCGACGGAGCACCCTTCTCGGCCTGTCTTTCCTCGACTGGTGAACACTGAGGGCGGTGCCGACGCGGGCGTCAACGCCGGTGGTGGCCAAGTCGGCAGCAGTGCAGGAGGCACGTCGAGGCAGCGTGGTGTGATTCACGCCGATGAAGTCGGCGGCGTTCAGGCGCGAGGGCTGCAGTCGCCGGCAGCTGCAGGGTCCTCGCAGGGCGATGTCGGAGGACGTCGAAGTGGTTTGGCACCGATGTCGGCGACCCACGTGACTGCGGGCAGGATTGCACCGAGCTACGGCTACTTCAAGTTTACGCCGGACAGGATCTCGGTCACCCCCCTGCTTGTTGGTCGACCGGACATACTCACTTGGAAGGAAGCTATTAAGCCCCAGCTGGAGATGGCCGGGCTGATCGGTTTCGCCCGCGGCACCGTGGCGACGCCAAAGGAGATCTACCCCGACTTGCGTGCTGAGTTTTGCGCCGTGCAGTTGCTGACATTCACGGCCATCTCGCGGTGCTGCTCGCCGGGCGTGCAGATCGCCTTGAAGTCGTGCAGGGAGTACCTTTACGCCGGCCACCGAGTGTGGCGCTTTATCGCCCAACTTGAGGGGCAGCTGACACACCTGCGTATGGGCGACCAGGAGACCGCGACGGACTACTGCAACCGAGCTCGGCGAATTCTCGCCACCATACGGATGGCTGGCGCGCAGTACTCAACGGCATCGTACGTCACACACGTCATGCAGGGACTCCCGAGCAGCTACAACCTGCTGAAGCGGCTGTCGATGGCGCCGAGCACGCGGGCGACGCTCAACGAGGACACATTGACCTCGTACATCCTGCAAGACGAGGCGATGCAGGAGGCTGAGCGGTCCTAGGAGCTCCTTGCACAAGTGAACTTCGTCGCCCCGGCGAAGCAAGGCGGTCGACCGGGGCAGCCCGAAGCCACTGCCCGGGCAGCCCGGGGCTGCCTGGTGGCAGTCACTGCGGTGGCGCGAAGCCGGCGAAGAACGCCGACAAGAAGAAGTCGGCTAAGGAGAGCGATCGTGGAGGAGGAGGACGACGTCGGGAATGCTGGCTGTGCGGCGACCCCGATCACCTCTCTATCGAGTGCCCCGACCGCAGTGACTCGGACGACGACGACACCCAAGGAGGTCGCAGAAGGTCTGGCAGCCGTCGTCCGCGTCGAGGAAACCAGCCGCGCAAGGAGAAGCAGTCGAACAAGTCGACCTCGGCGAAGGACGCCGACTCCTCTGCTGGCGGCAAGGGGCGAGACGACAAGGAGGCGTCGTGCTCGCTAGTCGGCGTCGTGGAGCCGACCGTCTCGCTGGCGCCGGAGGCTGGCGAGGACTTCCAAGCGGTGGCGGCAGCTGTGCAGGCGAACCCGGCGGTGGTCCTGCTCGACAGCGGCTGCTCGCACCACCTGATGGGGACGAAGGACGCCTTCGTCGACTTGGGGCCGAGCGGCGACGTGAAGCACGTACGTGGCTTCAATGGGGCGCTGCAGGACGTTCGCGGCCGTGGCACGGTTGCGCTGCAAGGGGAGGCCGGGAAGCGGGTGCTCATCCCCGACGTGCTCTACGTCCCGGGCGTGCAGGCGAATCTGCTTTCGGCTGGCCAGCTGAAGGAGAGCCGGGTGACGCTGAAGGACGACGGCGATAGGATGTTGCTCGTCTCCGCGGCGGGGGACGTGCTCGGTCGAGCAACGTACACCGACCGGGTCCTCTGCACTGACCTACGTCCCTGCTCGGAGACGACTGCAGCGGAGGAAGTAGCCTTGCGGGCAATCGTCTCGGCGACGAAGGCGACGCCGGACAGGCTGCACGCGAGGCTCGCGCACGTCGGCATGGACACCATCCGGAGCTCGGCGAAGCACGAGGTAGCCACCGGGGACGACGCTGCACCAGCTCCTCACCGGGCAGATACCCGACTTGTCGATGGAGCGGGTGTGGGGCTGCATGGCGCAGTTCCTCGTCCCTGAGCAGCAGCGCGGTGGGAAGCTGCAGCCGAAGGCCCGGTGGGGCCTTCACCTCGGCGTGTCGGAGGAGAGCAAAGGCTGGGAGCTCCTCGACATCGCCGCCAACCGGGTGGTCACCACGTCGGACGTGGTGTTTTACGAGACGATGTCGCTGGAGGTTTGGAAGTCGGAGCACGGCCCGGCGTCGGGGCGGACACTGGTCGACCCGCCGACGGACACCTCAACCGCGATGCTGCCCCTGCTCGCCGAGGTCGGTGAGCTTGCTGATGAGGACGCCGAGGGTGTCCACCCTTCCTCACATTCCCTTGCCCCTCCCCTCGTCGCCGACCTGCGAAGGCTAACTCCGGTGTCGGCCCGCGGCGATGAGGGGAGCGGTGGGACGTCGCCTGTGGCGCTGGCCACAAGCAACGCCGGTGGCCGACGTGACGTCCAACAAGTCGACGCGAAAGTGAAGTCGACACCGGAAGAGGAGGAGCAGGTCGAGGAGGTGCAGCAGACGGTGGTGAAGTCGGAAAAGGGGGCAGCGACACGGGGGCAGCTGATAGGGGAGCCGACCGCAGGGGAGAAGTCAGCAAGACGCCGACCATGGTGCCGCAGGACGCAGAAGGCGGTGCAGCCGACAATGCCGCAGGGGAGCAGTTGGGAGCCGAGGAGTCCACCGACAGCGACGTGGTGGAAGTCCAGGGCGGACCACGGCGTACGGGCCGACTTCGGAGGCCGCCTGACTTCTTCGACCCCGCCGCCTTCACCACGGTGTACGACGTGGACGACGACGACCTGGCGTACGACGACGCCGAGGACGATGAGGAGTTTCCGGAGCTCGACCCCGACATGCACGCCGACCCCGAACACCGTTGGGATATCTCGACGATGACGGTGAAGGCGGCGCTGGCGAGCTGGAAGGGTCCGGCGGTGAAGGCCGCCATGGAGGAGGAGATCCGCAGCCTGATTGGCATGGGGACATGGGAGCTGGTCGAACGCCTGCCGGGAGTGAACGTCATGAAGAACCGGTGGGTGTTGACGACGAAGTACCGCATCGACGACACCGTCGAGCGCGAGAAGGCGAGGCTGGTCGTGAAGGGCTTCACGCAGGTGTACGGCGCCGACTACGACGAGACGTACGCGCCAGTGAGCAGCTACGTCACGCTGAGGATCTTCCTTAGCATCGTCGCCGTCCTCGACGTGAACCTGATGCAGCTCGACATGAAGAACGCCTTCCTGCAGAGCAAGCTCGGTCGCGTGCTTTACATGTACCAGCCGGACTACTTCAATGACGGGACCGGCCGGGTGTGTAAGCTGCTGAAGAGCCTTTACGGGCTGAAGCAGTCGCCGCTGTTGTGGTACAAGGCGCTCAACGATGTGCTCATCGGCGCCGGGTGGAAGAAGAGTCAGGTCGACGAGGCTCTGTACTTCAAGATCGGCACGGACGTCGTGGCCTGCTGGGTGCTGGTTTACGTCGACGACCTGCTCGCCGCTAGCAGCAGCACCGCGATGCTGAAGGAGCTGAAGGAGCTGCTGGAAGCCGCCTTCGAGCTGCGCGAGATCTCGCCAGTGCAGAAGTACCTCGGGCTGGAGATCGTGCGCGACAAGTCGGCGGGGAAGCTGTGGCTGCACCAGCAGGGCTACGCCGACAAGCTGCGCAGGCGCTTCATCGACGAGGAGCAGGGAGGCCGGGCGTATCCCGAAGACGCCGGTCTCGGTCGATGCCTACACGCAGCTGACGTTCGACGACGAGGAGGCGCAGGAGCGACAGGAGGAGGAGTACCGGCAGAAGGTTGGCTCGCTGCAGTTCGCGGCGACGACGACGAGGCCGGACATCGCCTTCGCCTGCAGCAAGCTGGGGAGCGGCCTCACGGTGAGAAGCGACCAGCACTGGCGCGAGGTCGACCGCTGCCTCGCCTACCTCGCCAGCACCCGCGACACTGCTCTGGAGTTCGGCGATGGACCTGAGTCGCTGGAGCTGGTCGGCTACGTGGACGCCGACGACGCTGGCGACAAGCAGAACCGGACGAGCACGGGCGGCTACGTGTTTGTCTACGGAGGGGCCGCAGTCTCCTGGTCGAGCCAGCGTATCAAGTGCGCGACGCTGTCGTCGACCGAGTCGGAGTACGTGGCCGCGACTGAAGCCGGCAAGGAGGGACGCCGCCTTCGCTTCCTCCTCGCAGAGTTCCGGCAGCTGGACGCCAAGAAGCCGACTGTCCTTCGGGTGGACAACAAGTCGGCCATCACAGTCGCCGAAGGCATGGGGTTGACGGGCAACCTCAAGCACATGGAGCAGCGACAGGCCTGGCTGCAGCAGATGGTGAAGCGCGGGAAGTTTTCGCTGAAGTACATCCCAACCACTGAGCTGCCAGCCGACTTCCTAACGAAGGCGCTGCACTACCCGGCCTTCAACCGGTGTTCCGTCGCGGTCGGCCAAGTGCGCCTGGCCGAAGTCGGCGACGGCGACAACGACGTGCAGCAGTAGGTGCCATGCCCTTTTGCATGGCTGGTGCGGTGACCGGCGTGCTGTGTGTTGTGTGCATGCCGCCGAGCTATTTTCCGAGCAGCGCTGCCGTGTGGGCTGGTGGCCCAAGCGTGAACGCGGCAGGGGAGTGTCAACGGGAGTTGGGTGTGGCCCCGTCCTCGCTTGGGCGGAGCCGACTTAGTGGTCGGGTGTAAGGAGAGCAGCCGACCTGCAGCAGCGGGCGAGCTGGTCGACGAGGCTGGTCGACCTGCACGGGGGCCACTGCAAGGGCGCCGACTTCGGGAGGGCGCCAACTTTGGGAGGTCAACCTGGCGAGGTCGACGTGCACGGGCGTCGACTTGGCGACGCCGACTTGGGTGCAGCCGACTTGGGAGGCCGGCTGAGGAGAGTTGTCGACCTGGTGGTCGACCAGACTTGGTGGTCGACAAAGGGGGGGAGCCGACGTCGACCTCGACAGGGGAGTCTGGGGACGCCGGGCTGGAGGGCGTCGAGTAGCAGAACGCCGAACAGCCAGGCGCCGAGTTCCATGGCGCCGACGTGGAGGGCGCCGACCATTGGGGATGCCGGGCTCTCGCAGTCGGCGACCGACCGAGCTGGTCGATCAGGCGTGGTTGCCCGGTCGACTGGGATACCCGGGCGACGTGTGCGAAGGTCGCCGGGATGGATTATGCGAGGGCGATCTCGGGGTGGTATCCCGAGGTTGACGTGGCTGGTGGGCGCAGTCGCTGGCGTGGAGTTGACCTGGGCGTCTGCACCGTGCACGTGACGAGGAGTGGTGCACCAACCAGCTGCGCGCACCTGCGAAGCAGGTGCACCGTTGTCCTGCGGGTGCAACGTTGTGCAGCCGACTTGCTGCAGCGTTGGCGCACCGCGGACTTGCAACGTTGGCAAGCCGCGACTTTGCACCGCTTGAGCGCGGTCGACCAAGTCGTGCTGGCACGTGGTCGACCGTGCTGCGCTGGCAGTCGATCAGCAACCTTGCTAGGTCTGATGTAGTTTGTGTTGCCAATGTTGATGCAATCATTCTGAACATTTGTTGTCATGCCTTCCTAGTGAAACTCTTGCCAATTTCCCTCATGAACTAGCAAGCAGTGTGAGCACTTGGAAACGACTAAGGAACGAACGAACGCTACGATCACTCTTGCCCCGTGCCTAGCCCGTAGTCTAGCTCCCGTTGTAGTAGTTATCTCCGCAGAGGAGGTGCCTTGCTCTGGTGAAGAGGAGGTGCCTTGCTTTGCTGAAGAGGAGGTGCCTTGTTATTCTGAAGAGGAGGTGTCTTGCTCTGCTGAAGAGGAGGTGCCTTGCTCTGCTGAAGAGGAGGTGCCTTGCTCTGCTGAAGAGGAGGTGCCTTGCTCTGCTGAAGAGGAGGTGCCTTGCTCTGCTGAAGAGGAGGTGCCGGTATCCTCTCTCGCTTCTTACATGCTCCCCTGTATCCTCCCGCCCCCGTCCCTTTTTGCCCAGTCTGCCCCTTGCTCCCACTCGCTCTTCAACCAGAGGGCGGTGCGTGATGGTGCAGTGCGGTGCAAACAACCATCTTCTAACCCTCTCTCTCACTCTCCCCTTTATTCTCCCCTCGCCCCTGCTCCAGACCCTCCCACGCTCCCATACACTTGTCAACCAGAGGGTATTGCACGGTGGGGCAGAGAGGTGCATTGATGTGGCGACCCTCTACTCTCCCCGCTCCTTTCCCACATCCAACCCTATTCCCTCCGCTCTCTCACTTCTCTTCCCAGCCCCTTCCTCGCTCCCTCGCTCCCACGTACTCCTCAACCAGAGGGCGTTGCATGATAGGGCAGTGCATTGCAGTGAGACGTGCATGAATGTGTGATCCTACAACATCTCTTCTCTCCCCTCCCTTTCCTCCTTCCAGCCTCTCCCACGCTCCCACGCGCTCTTCAACCAGAGGGCGTTGCACGATGGCGCAGTGCGGTGGAGCCACCACGGGTGCAAGTCGTTTGACTGCCTCAACCACAGGACTGCAGGCGAGTGTGCTTACAACTGACACACTATTGGTGGGAAGGGCACAATGGAATTTGCGAAGCTTCTTGAGGGTTTGGATTGGATGCGACGGTTGTTGCTGTTAGTGTTGGATGCGACGGTTGTTGCTGTTAGTGTTGGATGGGACGGATGTTGCTGTTAGTGTTGGATGGGACGGATGTTGTTGTTAGTGTTGGATGCGACGGTTGTTGCTGTTAGTGTTGGATGGGACGGTTGTTGCGGTTAGTGTTGGATGGGACGGTTGTTGTTGTTAGTGTTGGATGCGACGGTTGTTGCTGTTAGTGTTGGATGCGACGGTTGTTGCTGTTAGTGTTGGATGGGACGGTTGTTGCTGTTAGTGTTGTATGGGACGGTTGTTGTTAGTGTTGGATGCGTCGGTTGTTGCTGTTAGTGTTGGATGGGACGGTTGTTGCTGTTAGTGTTGGATGGGACGGATGTTGTTGTTAGTGTTGGATGCGACGGTTGTTGCTGTTAGTGTTGGATGGGACGGTTGTTGCTGTTAGTGTTGGATGGGACGGTTGTTGTTGTTAGTGTTGGATGCGACGGTTGTTGCTGTTAGTGTTGGATGCGACGGTTGTTGCTGTTAGTGTTGGATGGGACGGTTGTTGCTGTTAGTGTTGGATGGGACGGTTGTTGTTGTTAGTGTTGGATGCGACGGTTGTTGCTGTTAGTGTTGGATGGGACGGTTGTTGCTGTTAGTGTTGGATGGGACGGTTGTTGTTGTTAGTGTTGGATGCGACGGTTGTTGCTGTTAGTGTTGGATGGGACGGTTGTTGCTGTTAATGTTGGATGATTCATGATTCATGAAGAGAACCTAGTGAGGTGGAGTCATTACGGGTGCAAGTCGTTTGACTGCCTCGACCACAGGACCACAGGCGAGTCACGAGTGTGCTCGTAGCGATGGCAGCACTCGGATGTTATGAAATCCGCAGTCGTTCCTAATGTGAGGGTTTGGTTGGTTGGTTGTATTATGAGAGCAGGGGGGGATGTGTGGGGCGCAGGGGGGGATGTGTGGGGCGCAGGGGGGGATGTGTGGGGCGCAGGGGGGGATGTGTGGGGCGCAGGGGGGGATGTGTGGGGCGCAGGGGGGGATGTGTGGGGCGCAGGGGGGGATGTGTGGGGCGCAGGGGGGGATGTGTGGGGCGCTTTGATAATTTTGACTTTTGAGGCGCCTCAAATGCAGAGTGAAGGCGCGATATCGGGGAGCAATCACCATCAAGGACGTTGTTACCCTCAAGAATGGCTCCCTGCCTGAGGATTGACGCCGGGAGAGGCATGGGCAGCTTCGCGACTCACACTCACTCTCCCCCTCTCTCCCTCACACACACTCTCCCTCTTTGTCATGCGCACCTGCATTTCCCTCCACTCGCCCTTCCTTCCTCCCTTCTCAGGCGATTGCAAGAGCTGTTCAACATGGCTCTGGATTCGAGCCGGTGGAGGGTGAACCTCTCTCACTCTCAGCATGCACACTCTTTCTCCCTCACGCAAACACCGACACATTTTCCCCTTCCCCTCGCCCTGCAGGCGACTGTAAGAGCTGGTTCAACACGACTCTGGAGGCGAACTGGTGGAAGGTGAGGCACCGTTCTATCCATAGGGAGCTGAATGCACCTCTATATCCCCACTTACCCCCCCCCCCCCTCATCCTCCTCGGCTCTCAGGCGACTGCAAGAGCTGCTTCAACATGACTCTGGAGGCGAATCGGTGGAAGGTGAGGTACCGAGGGGCGCTGACCATCAAGGACGTGGTGACCCTCAAGAAGGGCTCCCTGCGCCTTGGGCTCGACGCCGGGAGGGGCACGGGCAGCTTCGCGGCGCACATGGCGCGGTACAACGTGACGGTGATGACGATGGCCATGAACATTGAGACGCGCTCGGGCGTGCACACGGGTCTGCCTTACATGGAGACAATCGCTCTGAGGGGGCTGGTGCCTCTCCATATCCCACACACGGTACCAAGTCTCTTCCCCATATGCTAGGTTGCTTGGTATTGGCCCAGAAGAGGTAATAGATAGGTATAGAGGCACCGCACCGGTGGTGGTGAGCGTTGCGCCACTGTTGAGGATTCTCAGTAGCGCCCCACATGGCATGGCGCGGTACAACGTGACGGTGATGACGATGGCAATGAACATTGAGACGCGCTCGAGCGTGCACACGGGTCTGCCTTACATGGAGACGATTGCGCTGAGGGGGCTGGTGCCCCTGCACATCCCACACAGGGTAAGTGGGAGGCTGGAACACTGTCTTACTCTCCCGCACACAGAATGGTCTCTCCCGCACACAGTATGTTACCATGCACTAGAATCACCCCGATATGGTAGCAGCTCCTCCCCTTGTTGTCCCCCACCTCCACATTTCAATCTGCAGGCCCGTCTGCCCTGATTTGACAACACACTCGACCCGTGTTTTGAGTCGACTCAAAACACGACTCATTTCGTGCACTGCGTCAACAGCGTCAAGTGAACCTAATGAGGCAACCTTACCGGCCTTTCAGTCCCCTCTTCTGCACCTCTGCACGTGTTGAAGCTCTAAAGTACACTCCCTCTGTGTCTGTCCTCCCACTGCGGTCGTCTCACGGGCCCGCCTGACCTTGTTTGAGAACATGCGTGACCTCGTGCACTGCGTCAACAGCACCAGGGAACCTAATGGAGCAACGTTACAGCCTTTCAGTCCCCTCTTCTGCACCTCTGCGCGTGTCTCCCATGTCCCTCAGGCGCGCATGCTGTTCTTTCACAACACCATGGTCCTCGTGCACTCAAGTGCGTTAAGTACCTTGTGAAGGCGTTTGCAGCACTTACCTGTGCATCTAACTCCGCTTCTCCTCATGTGCTCCACAGGCCCATCTGCCGCTCTTTGACAACACTTGACCTCGTGCACTGCGTCGCACTGCTCAACTATCTTCTCGTACTTGTCAAATACCTCCCTTGTCAAGGGCTTACAACACTCACCTCTGTCTATCTTCTCGTCTGCTCCTTTTGTGCTTCCCCATGTTCCTCAGGCCCGTTATCCCTTCTTTTGTTCCGTCTTCTCCTTTTTCATTCTGTCAACAGCGTCAAGTACCTATTCAAGCCCTATAATTGACTTCTCATGTGTTCCTTTTTGGTCTCCTCTGCTTTACCTCCCTCCCACAACATCAAGCACCTCCCTTTGGGCGAGTTCGAGCATATAACCAAGTGTTTGTTCTCCTCTGCACCCCTCTCAACGTACCCTCCTCCCACAGGCCCGTCTGCCTTTCTTTGACAACACACTGGACCTCGTGCACTGCGTCAACAGCGTCAAGTACCTCCCACTGGGCGAGTTTGAGGACCTGCTGTACGAGTGGGACCGAGTGCTGCGAGTCGGTGAGTGCTTGCAAGGGTGTGTTGCTATAAGCACATCAAGTTGCACCTACCTCCCACTGGGCAAGTTAAAGGACCTGCTGTACGAGTGGGACCGAGTGCTGTGAGTTGGTGAGTTATTGTAACCTTTCAGTGCCTGGTGTCCAGCATCTTGGTACGCATTTTAAGGCGTCTAGCAGCCAGTACGTTCCTAGTTGAGGATGTGGGGTACAAGTGGGAGCGTGCAGTGAGTCAGTGAGTTCCTTCACTGGTTATTCACTGCACATTTCTCTAGGGGTGGTGTAGCGTGTACCTCCCACTGGGTGAGTTTGAGGACCTGCTGTACTAGTGGGACCGCGTGCTGCGAGTCAGTGAGTTTCCCCGGTGCTGATACAACAATTACCTTCCTCAAGGCGCGCTTGATGACCGCCTGCATGCTCCTTATTGTCTCATGCCTGAATGTTCACTGTTCTTTTCTTGCCTTTCTTCTACACCCCCATTCGGTGTTGTTCGTATCTATGACCTTTTATTACCATGTGCTTCTCGTACATGTCTTGTGCACAGGTGGTGTCTTGTGGTTTGAGCTTTTCTACGCGCCAGAGGACGAGATGAAGATATACATTCAAATCGTTGATCTTCTACAGTACAACAAGCTTTATTGGAACATCACATCCAAGCCTGAAAAGGATCCCAAAGCGGTTCAGCGTGTCTATCTCAATTGCCTTCTAGAGAAGCCCCCTCGCATTGATTAGGTACTGTAATCCCTCAAATAGAAGGCCCTAGAAAAAATGAGGGTGGTGGGGGGGGGGGGGAGGGGGGAGGGGGAGGGGGAGGGGAATGGCACGCGGGCGAGGGGGGTTCTTAAAAACAGAAAGATTTCTGACACGCGGGATGTTTCACACTGTCAATTGTTGTAGCCTATAGTGAGGATTGTCTTAGGGGGTACAAAACTTAGGGTTAGCTATATGTACCCCAACCAACATCAATGCATCATCCATTTCTCATTCTGACATGGTATCAGTTAGGTTAGGATCCTGTGGGATCCCGTTCCTCCGTTCATCGTTCGTACTTCCCGAGCCTGATCCTCGCTCTCGTACGTCCCGTTCCTGTAGCTACCGAGCCTAGCGCCGGCCCTTCCGCGGTAGTGTTAGCTTTCCCCCGCTCCCCTCCGTCGCGGTGCGTTCCCCCCGCCACGTCGCGCCCGTCCCCTTCCCCCCGTCGCGTCGCGCCCGTCCCCCCCTCCTCCCGTCGCGTCGTGTTTCCCCCCGTCGCGTCGCGCCCGTCCCCCTCCTCCCGTCGCGTCGCGTTCCCCCCGTCGCGTCGCGCCCGTCCCCCCTCCCCCCGTCGCGTCGCTTTGCCCCCTCGCGTCGCGCTCGTCCCCCTCCCCCCGTCACGTCGTGTCCCCCCCAGCTCTCCCCGTCGCGTCGCGTCGCTGCCCAGCGCTGCGCCCGCGGCCGCGCCCGTCGCCCTGGCCCGCGCCCTAGCCCGTCGCCCAGGCCCGCGCCCCAGCCCGTCGCCCCTGCCCGCGCCCTAGCCCGTCGCCCAGGCCCGCGCCCCAGCCCGTCGCCCAGGCCCGCGCCCTAGCCCGTCGCCCTGGCCCGCGCCCTAGCCCGTCGCCCAGGCCCGCGCCCCCACGCGCGTCGCCGCTGCGCCCCACTTCCGTTTTCCACCGCTGCGTCCGCTCCCGTTGCCCGCTGCTTCGTCCGTCGTTCACTTCCGTTGTCCAAGGGTACTGCTTAACCCTAGTCTCCCACTCGCCTACTGCTGTCTCCTACCGACGCTTTTGCGTTCGTTTCCACTATGGCGACTCAGCGTGTACTTCGTTTCGACGCTGACGGTAGACCTCTTGATTTTTCCGTCTGGCTTCTTCGCGCTCGCCGTCTGTTAGAGAGTCAGGTCCAGGCAGGCGAGACCCTCTGGGCGCACGCTACTGGTGCCCTCCCTGCGCCCCCCGACCCTACGCCTTTAGGACCTGCCCCTGACGACGCCGCTAGAGCTCACTTTGCCACCCAGCGAGCTGACCAGACGGCTTGGACGTCGCGTGACGCTGCGGCCTGCATCGCGCTCAGCAGCCTCCTCCCTGAGTCTGAGGAGGTTCACTTCACTCAGGTTCGCACCGCTGCTGAGTACCTCACTGCGATTAAGGCCCGCTACTCTACTCCCGCTACTGTCTCTCTTGGCCGCCTTTTCCTCCCGTTCCTGTTTCCTGACCTAGCGTCTTTTGAGCGCTCTGCTGACTTGATCGCTCACCTCCGCTCGCTCGACGCTAGTTACCGCGCTGCTTGCACTGAGGCACAGCTTGCACTGCTTCCTCCCCCTATGGCGATTACTATCTATTTCATCGCCACTAGCCTTCCTGACCGCCTTGCCTCCGTTCGTGACGCGCTTCTGCTGAGTAACCTTCGCTCGGTAGCCGCTGCCTCTGGTGCTGTGCCCCCCTCACTCCTCCACGGGTGCACAGTCCCGCAGTTACCCACCTTTACTGCCTCTCTCGCCACTGCCGCTACTGACGCGACTGCAGCTGCTGTTACGACTGCGTCGCGGTCCCGCGGTAGGGGTGGCAAGAAGGGCGGTTCTGGTGGTGGTGGTGGTGGAGGCGGAGGTAGTGGAGGTGGCGTTGCGACTGGCGGTGGTGGGAGTGCAGGACCTGGAGAGACGTCTCGTGCAGCGACAGGTGACTCTACTGCGCCTGCTGGTGGTGGCGACGCCCGAGTTCGTCAGTCGCCTCCCGTACTGCCGGCCCCGGTGGGTGGAGCAGCGGCGTGGTACCAGGCCCAGCGTCAGCAGCAGCTTCAGCAGCAGCAGCAGCCCCTCTCCTCCCAGCAGCCTCAGCAGCAGCAGCGGCCGCAGCTGGCTCCGGGGTCGGGGCTGCGTCTGCTTCAGCGCAGTGCTGCTTACCCTCCCTGCACCTATCAGGTTCTGACAGGTCCTCGCCGAGGCCACCCTTGTGGCCGCTTTCACCCCCCTGGTCAGTGTTTTGCTCAGCTCACTGACACGGTTCGTTTGGTCTACGGGGTTGGCGGTCCTGCCCCTGACTGGCTTCCTCTTGTTCAGCGTTACGGCTCCGCTCTGTGGGGCATGTCTGCTGAGCAGTTGGTAGATCTGATTGGAACTCCTCATGCTATGTATGTTGTTGTTGACTCTAGTGCTTCTGACTCTGTTTACTCTGGTGTTGTTAGCTTAGGTGCTAGCCTTGCTCAGTTGCCTGTTGCTAGTGTAGGTTCTTGTGTAGACTCTAGTCCAGCGCCTACCTCGGAGGACACTTCGCTGTCGTTCACGCTGGACTCTGGAGCCTCGCACTGCTTCTTTCGTGACAGCACGACACTTACACCACTTCCTGCACCTGTCTCCGTGGCGTTGGCTGATCCCACCTCGGGACCAGTCATTGCGCGTCACACTACCACCTTGCCGTGTCCTGCTGCTCCCTCCGGGTCTCTCACTGGGTTTCACGTCCCCTCGTTCTCCCGGAACTTGGTTGGCGTGCGACCCCTCGTGAGTCAGCACGTGGGTGTGTGGTTTAGCGGAGAGACTGCGGTGTGTGTTGACGGAGACTCTTACCAGCCGCTGGCCACCTTTACTGCTGAGCCGGGCTCCGGTCTCTACACTCTTCACACTGGCCCGCTGGCGCAGCAGCAGCCGCAGCAGCAGCAGCAGCAGCAGCAGCCGCCGCAGCAGCCGCAGCAGCAGCCGCTCCTACTGCCCCCGGCCCCTGTACCGCCCTCCGCTCGAGTCCCCGCGTCTCACCAGGTTGCTCCTTCCCCCCAGGTAGCTGTGTCTGGTCAGGTTCCTGCGTCTGGTCCAGTCGCTGCGTCTTGCTCCTGCCGGTCCCTTGCCCACCCCACCGTCCTGTGGCACCACCGGATGGGGCACCCGTCCCTTCCTCGTCTGCGCACTATGTCTCGTCAGCGTCTTGTCTTAGGCCTCCCGCGTGTCTTGCCGTCGCTGCCGCCTTCGCTTGCGCCGCCGTGCGGTCCCTGCGTCGAGGGTCGGCTGCGCGCCACCCCTCACTCCTCCCTTCGTCCGGCCACCGAGCCTTTTGAGACGCTCCACTTGGACGTCTGGGGCCCTGCCCCTCGTCAGGGCCCTGAGCGTGAGCGTTTCTTTCTGGTGGTCGTTGACGACTACTCCCGCTACACCACAGTGTTTCCCCTGGCGAAGAAGTCTGAGGTGACTTCTACGCTGATCAGGTGGTTGCTTACCACGCAGGACACTCGTGGTCGTCGTGTCAGCTGTCTTCACTCCGACCGCGGGGGTGAGTTTCGCTCCACCATTCTTGCTGGATTCTGTCGCGAGCAGGGCAGAGGCTTCACCGACCAGTCTTTGGACCAGGTCCCCTGGTGTTGCGTCGAGGTTTCGTGTCTGGGGGTGCTTGGCTCTTGTCCGCGACACCTCCGCGGACAAGCTCTCGCCTCGCGCCGTTTCTTGTGTCTTCCTTGGTTTCTCGAGGACTCCTCTGACTTCACCTTTTACCACCCTCCCTCTCACCGGTTCTTTGACTCCCGTGACGTCCGTTTCGAGGAGTCCACCCCCTACTACGTCAGGTACCCCAGTCGAGGTCTCCCGGTCCCTCCCCCCCCTCTCTTCCTGACCGCCGCTCCCCCTCCTGCTCCCCCGGTACAGCCTCCCCCCCCTGGTCCAGCCCCGTCTGGTGTGTCTCAGGCTAGCCCTCCCCCTTCGGTAGCCCCTCCGGTACAGCCTCCCTCCCCACAGTCTTCCTCGCCGCGTCCTGCAGGTGCTCGCTCTAGAGAGGTTGGTACTGAGACAGTTCCTGTACCGGTTTCTGGTTCTGGGGGTGCTGGAGTTGGAGCTGAGCCGCGGGTTGCAGAGGACTCTCGTCTTCCGGGAGCTGGTGCTGGTTGTGCGGGGTCTGGGGGTGCTGCGTCTGGGGGTGAGGGTGACCCCCCTTCGGTTTCTGGTGAGCCTGGGTCTGGAGCTGGTGTTGGTGCTGACTCTGGGGGTGGTGCGCCTGGTGCTTCGGAGGTGGACTCTGGGGCTGCCGCTGCCCCGGACACTACTACTACCCCCCACCCCTACCCGACCAGGTTCCAGGCTCGTGTTCGCCGTGCTCGTGAGGAGCAGCTGGAGTTGGAGCGAGAGGAGCGAGAGTTGCAGCGGCTGAAGGAGTAGGAGCGGCAGCAGCAGCAGCAGCTGCTGCAGCAGCAGCAGCAGCAGCAGCAGCAGCAGCCGCCTCCTCCTCCTGTCTCGGGTCTTCGGACCCTTGGTCTCCCCTCTCGCTCTCCTTCCTCCTCCCCCTCTCCTCCCGTCTCTGGTCCTCCGCTTCCTCCTCCTGACCCCGCTCCCACTGTTTTCCCTCGTTCTCAGTCTTCGTTGTCCCCTCCTCCTTCTCAGACTTGGGCCTCTCGTCGCTCCCCTCGTGCTCGTCCCTCGTCTCCTGTTCCCTTCACTGACCTTCGTACTGCCTTACTTCGTTCTAGTCCACCTCGTCCGTCTCCGTCTGTGCTTCCGTCTCCTCCTGAGTCGGCTCTCACTGCGTCGCTCCCTACTCCTGTCACTGACTACTACCGCACGTACCGTCCTGTTCTCTCTCGTGTTCTCGCCTCGCTTGTTACTCACCCTCGTGCCTCTGTGTCCTCTGTGTCCGCTCTTACTGCCGCAGTCACTGACTTTGCCTCTACCCGCCGCCTTGACTTCGCCACCGGTCTTGTGGCTGCTCCTCCTTCCAGTCCTCTGGCCATTGGGGGTGTGTCTGCCCTTGGCTGTGACGCCCTAGAGGACAGGCAGTTTGAGCTAG